CCCCCCCCCCCCCCCCCCCCCCACGCAAATCAGTTAGGTGAAATTCTATTTATTTATTTTTCTATTTACCAAATCTGCATAACCGAACCAGAGTCCATAGGGCAAAGAAATAGCACAGGCCAGTGTACACACTGGGTCTAATAGATTTCTGTTTCCCTTTACCAACTTTGACTCGGATGTTAGTTGGAGCCAGTGACATTCCGCGAGGAAGCAAAATATCTTACGTCTGCAATTTCCTGTGACGCATAGATGTCTATAGTTTGTGTTCGGTCGTTTGTACGCTTTAAAAGATCTAGATCTACTCTGTTTGTTATTCAACTTGTAGAACCGGATTCAAAGACAAAAGAACCGGCGATTTTTTAAAAATCATGTTGTGTCACTGGGAAAGTAAAACACGACGTAGGCCTACATAGTATTATTAATACATTTTTAAAAATTATTGAAATTTAAAAAAAAACAAATAGATTTTGCCCATCTGGAAGAAAAAATCTATCCGCAATCCTGTATCAAACTATAATATATATATAAAGTAAAGAGTGGAGAAGCTATCTGCAGTGTGCACTTGCTCTAAGAATCAGCTTTTTCTTCTTCAATGTTTGGCTCCCTGGCGGGTTCTAAAACTGAGATTGCTTTACTGAATATCCAACCTCTAATGTCAGACGTCTTTTGATATCTTCGGCAATGTCCCGACCCCTGTTTCTGAACTTTTTCGACGGCTGAGTGGTTATTGAGGTCGGGTTAGCAAATACAGTCTTGCCATTCTCGTGACCCAAAGTTTGGGTGGTTGGAGGCTTGTGATTTTTTGCAATTCGCAATATAATACCACGGTAGCTCGGAGGCCGGGTGTTGCACAGTGGAGTCAAGCATTTACGTACCCGTGACATCGTTAGCTCTAGTGACATACTGCGCACGATACGTATTATGTGAGGGTAGGTGTTTCATTTTATATGAACATTGTAATTGTCGCTATAACTAAATTTTCTGTAGGAGAATAGCTAAATGTCCTCTAGGAGAATAACAAAATTTCTCTGGGATGATAACTAAATGTCTTCTAATAGAACAATAAAGCTGGTATTCTGCTCTATCTTAGTGCCTATTTTATTTATGACAGCAATAATAAAAACCGATAACAACTAAAGGATTTTACGCCTACGTTGACTGCATACTTTTTTTTAGCAGATCTTGAGACAACTGGAAGGGGGAAAAAACAGTTTTGAAGAATCTGTGAAATACGCTCAACAGTGAATTATATTAAGCGCACAGTGCAATGTTTAATCACGGAATTTTGGAGACAGTCCTAGAACTCCAAGGTAGTTGAAAGTGATCAGTGAAAAATCTTGTCAGTATGTTAGTGTTTTAATAATAAATTGGCAGCTGCTTGCACTGTATGCTTCCCAGGAAGTTAATTTTTTTTTCAGAATTCCACCCGGCCTGCTTGGGTAATGATATTGATCACAAAGCACAAAGAGTTTGCTATCCACTATCTACTACTACTACTACTACTACTACTATTTTTTACATAATGGATATAACTGTTTCGGTTGGTTTGGAGACAAACACAGAGCTCAAACTATGTATCGTTTAAATAAAATATAGCTCAAACAAGGGTATCCTTTTCCAGCACAGCCGAGAACCTTGGTATCTATTTAGATTCCAATATGTCAGCGAACAACCTAGTAAATCATGTCACTCGATGTATGTGTACCTAAATCTCAGAAGAATCAGTAAGATAAGGCACCTTATTTCAAGTGAAATCGCACGCATGCTCTCTATCTTTCTTGTCTTGTCAAAAACTGGACCCATTCCAATTCTGTTCTGTCTGGTATCTCATGTGAGAGAATGAGAAAATTACAAGTGGACAAAAAGTATAACACCGCAAAGCAAGTACTAGTATTGAAGAAAAAAAAGGAAAGATCCAGCATAAAAAATGTTTAAAGCTCGCACTGGCGTCCAGTCGATAAAAGAATCCAATATATAATTTCTACTATCTGTTATAAACGTCTCAACAGTAATGCTCCATCATATCTGTCTGAGTTTTTAACCCCGTATGTTCCATCCCGTCTTTTAAAACGCAACAAAATTCAGAGTCCCTGGAATGAAATTAAGATCTTTTGACGAGAGAATTTCTAATTTTTTGGCCTTAGAATTTGGAACTCCTTGCTCCAGGACCTAAGAGAAATAACAAATCCTAAAACGTCTAACCGATTGCTCAAGACTCGTGTGTTTAATTCTTAATTGTAGGGTGTTTTATGTACTTATATGTCTTGTTTTCCACTGCTGTCCTTACGTGTATATAATATGTATGGTTGAGAAATTTCTTCTTTATTGGACTGTGAAATGTTTTATCTTGTGTGATTTTTTTTATAGTAGAAGGTTTTACGGCGCTCGCAACTGCATAAGGTCATATGAGCGCCAAGGGGTGAGTGTCAACAGAGAAGTCTTTACAGGGAAGCAGACTTAGACTGCTCACTTCTCTAGCTTCAACTGCACAAGGTCTGCTTCGACTAACAAGGCACCCCAAAATAGCAGGTCGCAAGGGAGTGACAAACATAAAAGAAGTCGAGGAAAATGACAATAGTAAGGATCAGGAAAGAAAAAGCAGCAGTTCCCTGTTGTAGATCAGGCACAGTTGTGAGCGTGACATGAGTCAGCCCATTTACAATTCTACTATGCTTGAACGAGATATGTCCCCCCTTTGGGAATGGCCTATAGACACTTCATCAGTCAGTGGGACTGCCCCGGGGGGGGG